AAATTTTTAAGATTATTTTGTAATATTTTAAAAATTCATTTTCGGAATTAATTTTTTATTAAATCTCGGAAAAAATATTTTTTCGAAAATTTAAAATTTTCTAGATTATTTTGTAATATTTGAAAAATTCGTTTTGGGAAAAAAATCATTTTTTCATTTTTATATTTCACATATTTGAATATGCAGTAGTTGCTGTTCCAAAAATATCAGACACAAGCGACAAACAGCTTTATCAATATTTACATAAAACTGCAAGCAAATATCTTTGTTATACTGTTATTTGCTGTTCTACTTAGCTTTTTCTGCTCTTGAAACAACAATTACATTGAAGAAAGGAAACCAAACATCAACAAGCGTCTTAGTTTGATAGCAATGACCTTGATTTTGACAAATATTTATTTCCTTTTTTTTTATAAACAAAAAAACAAATTCTGGAAAACGTTGCTGGTATCAAGTTATACATATGTATGTATGTACATACATATGGATATGCCAGTTTGTCTAAAAAATCTATTCCAGGTAATATATAGATAACCAAAATATAACATGTTTTCAAAAAATTAAACTAGATTGAATTTCGAAAAACTTTCAAAAAAGTTTCGAAAAAAAGTATGAAATAAGTTTTCAAAAAAATTTCAAAAACATATATCAAATTTTATAAAAAACCTCAAACAAATTTTCGGAAATGTTCGAAATATGCAAACGATTTTTTTTTTTTTGTTCTTTTTAACAGCCAAAACTATTAACATTCTCGACTGATTACGCATCTTTCAAAAATTAAATTTCTCAATTCTCGACTGATTACGCGTTTTTCAAAAATAAAATTTTCCAAAAAATGCTTGCCGAAAAAATTTTAAATTATTGAAATTTGTATTTTTCTTAATATTGCTTTTTTGTAAGTATTAAAATTCTAAAATAATTTTTTCCAAAAATGAAACGTTAATACAATTTCGAAAATATTTTGAAAACAAATATAAAATTTTTCAAAAGCAAATTTCAATTTCAATTTTTCGGAAATATTAGATATATTAAAAATATTTTCTTTTCTTTTTAACAACTAATACTACTAAGGTTTTTTACTCATTACGTATTTGTCAAAAATTAAATTTAAAAGTTTCCAAAGAAGATTTTTTTCGAAAAGATTTGAAATGTTTGCAATTCGTGTTTTTTTATTTTGTTTTTGTTTTTTTTTTTTTTTTTTTTTTTTTTTTTTTTTTTTTTTTGTTTAACTCTCAAAAATGTAAAACCTAAAACTGCCAAACTTATGTATTAAGTATTTTTCAAAATTTTAATAAAAAACATGTGGAAATTATTTTAAATTACTTTTTTAAACTATTTAAGTTCTGAAATGATTTTATTCCAAAAGTGAGGTAAAAACTTTTAAAAATGTTCAAAAAGATATAAAATTTTGGAAAAAAAAATATATATTTCAATAATGAACTATTTTTGTACATAAAAAAAGTTGTAAAAATTTAAAATTTGTTTAACAAGTCTATAATATAGTTTTTTTATTTTTTTAGTACTCACGCCCTAAAAGAAATTTTCTCAAAAACAAAAAAAAAATTTTTTTTCAAAAATCTTCAAAAGTGCCCAACAACTTCATTTATTCTGTATTCCAGTTAAATTGCATTCACTGTTATCTGGCAAGCTTTAGAAATTTGAGTAACAAGCAGTTGACATTTAAATCCCAATTTACGCCCGCAATTTGTTGGTGTTAAGTTCAAGCAATAAATGTTGCCTTACGTGACGTCATTCACCTTTGCCACCGTAAATAAATGAACCTCACGAACACACGCATACACATAACGGCACACCAGCCTCCTAGCTGCTGCAGGTCGGCAGTGTCGCGCAGGCGAAACGACGAAGAAACAAAGTGAGAACACAGCAGGCGAGCCAATCGCTAAGAAATTTACAGCGGGACGCTGGCAGCGCCGAGCGGGGGCATTAGAAAGCTTAAAGGCGAGAACAAATTGCCAACTGTTACCTGCCAGCAACAATGCTGCTTACGTTTAGTTGTGTTGTTGTCATTGTTGTGACTACAGGCCCTTTTGTAGCTGTTGCTGCTTACCGGGGCGTCTTGGCGGCTGTTGCAATCCAACTTTTCAATTAAATTAAGTTGAAAAATGGCGAAATGCCCTGACTGTATGAAGTTGAGGGCGCCGGAATGCCAGAGTGTCAGAAATTATTATTATTATTATTCTATGCAAAACATGTTTCAATAGAAAGTTTACAAGCGTCACGGCTGCAAGTTGCTAAACACCGCTCCTCTCATTGGGGCGCTGCCAGTCGGCAATTTGTTGTGCTTGCGTGTTTATTGTGACGATTTGCTGTTCCATTAGTTGCTGCCGCCTCTCAAAGCAATGACTTACGTTTTGTTTATTAAACAGTTTGCTTTAGACGCTCTTTATGCTGCGAAAATATTTATTTGGCCTGTTATTTGAACAGCTGTTGAACTTCGAAAAGTTTTCGAACATAAATTCCATATTCGCGGAAAGAAATTAATTTCTTCCAGTAAGAGTTGAAGTGTGGTCAGACACAGCATAGACTAACTTTGTTGTTAACTTCTGAACATATCAATAATTCAACTGCTTCAATTATGTAAGGCAAAAATATTTTGTGGTATTTTCGAAAAAAGTAAAAAAGGAGCTTAAGCAAGTGCTAAAAACAAATAGTGTAAAATAATATAAAAGATATTTTTATTTTTTATAAATTTTGTGAAGAAAAAGCTTGTTCACATAAAAGTATTTATTTATTTTCAATATGGCAACTCTGTCAAAATTTTTTTCAAACTAAAGCACTGAACTTGCTTCGCTGCAATAAGCAAATATAATTCCCATTTCTCCAGGTGTGATATTATATTTAAATTTTATTTTTATTTAAGTGTGGCAACTCCACCAAAGAATTTTAGAAATTAGTGCTTTGAATTTGCTCCCCTGTATAATAAGCAAAAAATTCCCATTTTCCCGAAATAAATATATTAACCAAAAAATAATTTTCAAGTGGCAACTCTACTCAAAAGTCTATTCTATTAACAATATTATTCTTTGCAATTTCATGTGCACTATTCACAGTAACTTACTGAATATTATTTAATTTTTTTTCCTTTTTTTGTAATTCTTATTTTTTTTATTTCCATTAGGTGGGAAC